AGAATACTGTTCCCCCTCTTAATCCCATTATTACCAATTTCCCACAAAATAAGAACAACAGTAGAGTTTCTGAAATCCAAAAATTACTACATAAAAACTTGCACAGTTGCATGCAAATCTATTTATATTCTTCTACACAAGAATTAAACAAGGCCCATGCACCAGGCAGAATGCTAGTGTGTACAAACACGAGATTGGAAATGAGAAAGACGTGCACTATACAAAGGTCGGGCAGTTTAATTACCAGGCCGCCATGATGATGGCATAAATATTTCTTCTATACTGGAAATGAGAAGAGAGCCCAGTAATGGCATAATAAGTTGGTGTTCTTCTACTCTGCTACTCAGGTGAGCAGTGGTAGATCTAATCAGTGTGGGCTATGGGCACATAAACTGCATCCTGAAGTGAACTATGGGTCCGGCCATAAAAAATATAAATGATCATTCCGGCCAAAAGCCATATCGAGACACGGAGCCACGTAGAAGCTCTGAGTTCAGAAAGAAATTTGTTAGACAAGTATGGAACCAATGCCCAGCACTTACAGCTTTTACACTACTCCAAGGAGAAGATGGTTCAACAAAATTACCCATAAAAGAAGACTCAAGAAGATTTGCGACGAAAATGAATAATGGAAATTCTTCAGGTACTCACCCAAGATTTATTAGTAAGTAGGTGTTTATGAGGATGCATGCAGTGGGTAGAAGTGGTACAAATGGACAAATGAAACCTGCAGAGATGTCAATGAATCATCCATAAATTTTCCAATCTCTTGCATGTCTATGGAGTTATACACACACAATTACAGAGGAATCTGAAGGTCAATCTATACGAAACGAGTTGCAACTACATACAATTACAGTGGAATATTGAGCAAGTCCAAATAGCTAGGCAGCTCTAAAAGGTCTATTAAGCAAGTGATCAAGCCGATTGGATGAACATACAAGAAAAACTAGCAGAGACACCCAAAGTTTTAATGGATGATTCTCTGCTGGTTGTCTGGCATCTCTGCAGGTGTTTAGTAAGTAGGTGGAAGTGGTACAAATGGACAAATGAAACCTGCAGAGATGTCAATGAACCTCATAGTAAGTAGGTGAATCATATCAAAGTAGTAAGCTAATTATCCAATAATTCTCTGCTGGTTGTTTTAGAAAACTATTTTTAAAAAATTTTGATGATTTAAATGAAATATTGAAATGTTTTTAATAATATTCTAAAATTTTAAACTTTAAATATATAGTTTATCAATGAAATCTCATATGTCTCCAACATATTGGCAAAATATCAGGGATATTTGGAGAAAAAAATTCCTGAAAGATTCTGTATCGCCACCTAGCAAATGGGGATATATCGGGGATATTTTGCCAAATATCGTCAATATTGCAAACCATGCTTCTTACCAAGTGAGTAGTGCATTTAGGACAGAAGGTGGTCTATGTCCAGCCAGACCTCATTAATCTCATTGTGTGATATAATGGAACATACCTCCTGTATGTCCAAAGTTGTGCCTCGACTCATCTTGATCTATCCAAGAGAGAACAATGAGACCACATAAAATAAGTGCACAACCAACCACGAACATTGTGAATTGAGGTATTCTGATACAAGAAAATAAAATCAGAAGCAAAGCAACATAAAAATCATCTACCAAATCATAACATATACTTCTTTCTATTCAGTAACAAGAAATTTCAACCATTAACTACATGATTTCTTTTTATACATGGCAGGAAACTTAAGCTATAGATACACTGCATCCATGCTGTATTTAGAAGAATAGCTTTACTTATTATAGGTAGACCATGATTAGAATCTTCTTTTCTAAGAATGACATCTACATRGGATTGTGTCTGAGAGACCCCTTAAACTAGCATGGTACCCTATCCACCTAAAGAAACATGTTAAACAAGTCTTCCATTGGACCCAAGGACAAAAAGCTTGTTCTCTATTAACCCCCTGCTTTGCTAGCTGATCTGTCAAAGAATTGCCAGACCTTTTTGTCCACAGTTCCACATGTAGAAGATTATGAAGATTATTAACCCCTGTCAACTGTTTTATTTCCCTTTCTCAGAGAACCATTCAACCAAAAAGCTTAAGCTGTTAGGTGATGTTCCTGAATAGGTTGATATTCTCTAACACGCCCCCTCAAACGAAAGCCCATTGGGCTTGAAGTGTGAACAAACACAGGCCCACCCATACCTTGTGCTGAAACTTAATTAATTATAATGGGGGTAATGAGTAGCAGCCTTGAAGCTGTTCAGTTTCCTATCTCTATTATTCCCTTAAAAGGATAAATTATCTTGAGTAGTCCAAGGCTGTTAAGTTTCATAGTATTAAATATGACAAATGGAAACAGGAGAATTATATGATAATGTCTTGGTTAGTGTCATCTATAGACCCATCAATAAGGAAAACTTTCATGTGGGCAGAAACAACAAGGAAATATGGGACCAAGAGAAGTCTACATATGTTGAACAGTGTCATTATGCTGGAGTTTATCAGCTGTAGGTTGAATYTACCTCATGTAAACAAGGGGAGAAGAGTTTATCTAGTTACTATTCCACACAACAAAGTGGAAAGAGCTGGGTCACTATAAAGTAATTGACTGAAAATGTGAGGAAGATGCAGCACCCTATAAAAAGTTGGTGAAACAGCAGCATCTATTTGCGTTTTTAGCTGGTTTAAACTCTACTTATGGACCCATTATAGTTCAGATTATTGGGTGTAAGGAGCTTCCCTCATTACAAGTATATTCCTTGCTTCAATCTAAATAAAATAGAAGAGGGTGCCACCCATTATTCTTTGTGCTCTATATTCTCTCTATTATCTTCTCTTCTAACTCTCATCTATGGAAGATCACATGGTGAACATTAAAATATGTATACAGACAGAAATACCCATACACCTAAAAATAAGAGTAAAATAACAAGTCTTATCAATGAATGCAAAACATAACTGATGAAGATGCTGAAGCAAAGAAAAAATGCATGGAGAAACAAATCAGTTTTTCCATTCCTATACCAACTTCAGAATTTTAGGGCCATAGGATATTGCTATTGTTTTTTTATTTTATTTTCTAGTTATAAGTGTCTTAAGAATAGGGTTTTAAGTTTTCCAGAAATTTACTGTTATTTCAAAATTACACCTTATGTTAACTTTCAAACTTATTATTTATAATAATTATTGTAAATACTTCTATTTATGGTAAACTTGTGTTTTACTATTTTTGGTATGCAAGTGTTATTTGAATGTCCCTATACATTACCCATGGATTTGTCGTAGTTTTAAAGCAATTAGAAGTTAATTTGGGTTAGTATCCTAGTCCAAATTCAAGCCTATAAAGGGACATCCGAGTCTATGAGTTGAATCTATAAATAGAGTCATTGTAATTGCAATTAAGAAAAAGTTGATCTAATGAAATAAAGTTTGGTTTGATGAATCTGGTTGTTGCCAGGAATTTTCATCTATTTTCCTCTCTCACCTATTTCTTCTTCTAGTTATTTTTGATTGTTTGCTCTAACAGCAAGAGTTGTTCTCCCTTTCTTTCTAGTTTCTTACTCATTTTTTTGGTGGACACCAAGCTATTTACTTGTTTTCCATCCCTGTTCTTCGTTCTTAATAATCCCAAACCTCTTCTTCACCCCACAAAGCCCACCACCGAATTTGGAATTTGTACGACCTCTAGCCTGTCCTCATCAATTAAAGGCTGGTTAGCATCAATTTCAGAGTATAATAGGAAGGGCTTCTAAGCACAATCTACCTTGGTAGGTGTTCAGCTGAAGCTGCAGATGTAAGAAGCAGTACACCTACACAAACAAATGCTATGTTCCACACAGCAACCTTTCGCCTCTTTTCTTTCTTTAACTTATCTGCAACAATTAATATATATATATATATATATATATATATATATATAAAGAAATAGAAGTCCCCAGAAGATGAAGGGTAAAGGCAGAAAATAAAAGACACAACAAGAAATTACATGTAAGGAGTGGATATCAAACATAAGGATTACCAGACTGCAGTGCCTGCTGATCATTAACATATCTTTATATGTCAAAATGATGGCTAAGATATCTCCCTTCCCCTCTAAGAGATCAATAATTCTAAATATCAACCCATTTGGGGATGTGAGGCCCTTAAATAGACTCCATTTCTATACCACCCACAAATATCTCTCTGATGATTCAAAAGGAATGGTGATAACATGATTACATATCATCCACTAAAAACATTTCTAGGTGACACTTGACAGTATCACATGGATGCAGATGGAACAAGCATCTTATGTCCAGTCTTAATTCCACAAAATTACAGAACATGGGCTTTCTTTAGAGTCATGCTAATAATTATAGCAATAATGATAATTATAATAATTGAACAAGGAGAATCTAACATTCATTCACCTATAGAAAAGGTCTTAATAAATGCAAAATGTTCATCTTTCCAATTAGGAGTTTTCACAGGGAAGATGGAATTCTGGGTGTATATTTAACAACAAAGGTGACATACAAAGTTGTAATAACTATTGGGCGATTAAACTCATGAGCCACACTGTGAAACTTTGGGAGAGAATAGTTGAACAAAGATTACGACTTGAAACAGGTATTTTAGAGAATCGATATGGCTTTATGTCAGTGATATCAACCATGGAAGCTATATCTCTTTTGAGATGATTGACAGAAAAATTTAGAGATAAGARGAAAGACCTTTCATATGGTGTTCATTGATCTAGAGAAGGCATATGATAGAGTACCTAGAGAGATAATATGGTGGGTATTGGAAAAGAAAGGGGTTCAAAATAGGTATATAGACCTAATTAAGGATATGTATGAGGAGGCAACAACCAATGTCCGAACACTAGTAGAAGAGACTTCAAATTTTATAGTTATGGTGGGTCTTCACCAAGGTTCAACACTTAGCCCTTACCTATTTGTATAGATCATAGATGAATTCACTAAACATATTCAGGAAGAAATTCCATGGTGCATGTTGTTTGCAGACGATACTGTTTTTAATTGATGAAACTAATGAAGCATTAAATGCAAAATTAAACTTATGGACAAATGCCTTAGAAATAAGATGTTTTAAAATAAGACTAAAATAGAGCATACGACATGTAATTAGTAACAAAAGGAGTGTAAATCAGGATATGCTACAGTACCTTGGTTCAATAATTCATAACAAGGGAGAGATTAAGGAGGATGTCACCCAAAGAATTAGAACAGGTTGGGTAAAAAGGAGGGGTGCATTTGGACTTTTGTGTGATAGGCGAATACAACTTAGATTAAAAGGAAAATTCTATAAAATAGTTGTAAGGCCAGCTATGTTGTATGGAATAGAGTGTTAGGTAGTTAAGAAACAACATGTCTAGAAAATGAGTGTGATAGAACTGTGAATACTAAGATGGATGAGAGAAAAGACTAGAAAGGACAGGATCAAGAATGAAGTCATCCGTAGGAACTTAGGGAGTAGCTCCAATAGGTGATAACATGAGAGAAAGTACACTAAGATGGTTTCATCACATGCATTGAAGACCATCAACAAAACCAGTTACAAGTGAATTGTTATAAGTTGAAGGGGCTAGAAGGGATAGGGGTAGACCAAAAAGGACATGGATAGAAATAGTAAGAAATTTAAGCACTAAATAATTTAATAGTGGATATAGATTTAGATAGAATGGATTAGTAAAACAGGATTCATGTAGCAGACCCCATATAGTTGGGATATGACGACGACGACGATGATGATGATGAATGTTCCTTACGTCAAGTGAACAAAGGAAAAACTAAAAAAAGTAAAGAAATGGCGATGCATTACTTCATTTATGTGATAGTTTGATGTGTGTCAAACAAAAATAGTTCATTTGATAAGTCCATGCAACATTGCAAATAGTTGTAAGTAAACTACTTAGTATGACCCACTGTGCTGTTGATACACAGTTCCATAAATCCTACTCTGCAATGCATGACACCTTATAACTGCATCTCCAATTTACCAATTGCATTGTTGATCCATAATCAACCCAACTCCATGAATACATGACAACTTAATGCAAGTACCTTATATATCAAAGATAACAGATGCTCAATCTAATATTTACTTTGGTCAAATACTTTTGGAATAAGGGGATCAGCAATAGCTACTTCAGTATTATCCTCAAAGTTGTAAGTAGAATCTTTTGGATTTTCCCCATTACAGTACCACTACCATGCGATGATGATACTGAATCAATTGTCTCCTTAAGTGATGATGGAAGTGGCACTTCATCTGGTGGAATGTATCTGAGTATCAAAATAGAAACATCAACAACAGTGAATGCAAGAAGTGTTCCCACACTGACCTGCAAAAAAGAGTAACCTCCAAAAGTTGGCTATTCATAATATAAATAAAATCTGACATGAATGCAACAAGTTAGGTTGTTTTGTAAGTGGTGGTCCAAATGCCTGTTAGGCTATTCATGCAGGTGAGTCCAAGGGTTGTCACAAAGTGGAACCCATCCAAGAGGAAGTATAAAGATCTACCAAATCTTTCATGATGCGTACATCCAAGCAGTTCAAATAGAGATAGGAATGGATCCTGATTGGAAGATTTCCATACAAAAGTGACCCAATCTAATGTTATATCCTAGGGTCCTTTTGGCACACTATGGATCAGGAAGTAGGTCATTATTATTTTTCAACAAATCCATACTGTGTGAATAAATCCTTTGTTATGCTATTACCAAATTAGGTATATGGGATTTCCATTATTATCAAAAATCATTTTTCTTCAATTTCAAACATGACAGTAGATATCTTCCCACACCAAACTTTCTCCACAAGATCAACTTACCATGCCTGCCAACTGTGAAACATCCATAAACAATGCTAGGATTGCAGCAAAAACTCCAGTTGCAATTGTGCTATTGACAGGAACTTGGTTGTGCTTATGTACATCTGAAAAGAAAGCTGGAAGTAATCCATCTCTAGCCATTACCATCAGGATTCGAGGCTGAGAAAATCAAGGGCATTTAATCTCAGTACAAATTTACCAGAATTAACCCTTTTTGTGTGAAAATCTATGATTATTACTAAGAACATGTTTTTGAAAACTGTTAAAGTATTGGAATTGTATTAAGTACCAACAAGAACCCATGTACAACAAGAGACCGTTCATTTGAAATTTAGGGTCTGTTTGGTTTGTGATCAAGACAAGAATTGGAATTCAAATCGGAATCAATCGAAAATTTTCAATTTTGTATTATTTTATTAATATTTTATATCATATTATTACTTTACTAATTTTGTTATATTATTATTTTAGTAATACTTTATTATTGTTTTATTAGCAATTTATTATGAATATTTTATTACAAGTTTATTAATAATTTATTATTTTACTAATAGTTTCTTAGTATTGTCTTATTATTATTCTACTACTACTACTACTATTATTATTATTATTATCATCATCATCACGATCATCTTATTATTATTACTTTAATAATATTTTATTAGTATTTCATTATTTAATTATTAATGCTTCATTATTATTTGTTGAATAGTTTATTCATATTTTTAATTAGTATTTTATTATTAATTTACTTATATTATATTAATATTTTATTTGCACATTATTATTATTATTAATTTATATATGTTTTTGTTATTTTATTATTTGCCCTTTGTTTTTGTTATTTTACTAATAGTTTCTTAATGATTTATTATTTTATTATATTTATTAATATATTATTATCATCATCTTATTATTACTTTAACAATATTTTATTATTTTACTAATATTTATAATATTAGGACTTGGGGTTTTTTGTCAAGAGTTCTTTTCTTCTTGACAAGCTCTGGTATGGGAATCCCATTCCCAAGGAGGGTGATAGGTTACTGCCTATCTCAGGGATCCTTCGAGGGGAACCGACCTCTAGAGAGAGAGGAGAGGAAAAGTCTGTATTCTTCTTATTCTTTTCTTAGTAGAAGGCACAACTTATATAACTGCAGCTAGCCGTTACATTTTAGAGTTAACAACTGAGTTGGTTACGGTCATGGAGTTGGCTGCGATTCCTTCGTTTGTGGTCTGGAGCTGCTTTGGTGCAGGGCGGGTGTTCCTCTTCCATGTATACACCATCGTGACTGGTGGTCGTGGCTCATTAGCATAGCGGGCTGGGCTTGGGCCAGCCACTGGGTTCTTATCATCTCCTCCCTTCTTTAGAATGACCTTGGCCTTGAGGTCCAGATTTGGGAACTAAGTTTGCAACTCCTCGTAAGGTTCCCAAGTGGCATCTGTTGTAGGCAGCCCTTCCATTCTGCTAGAGCCTCCTGGATGAACCGCTTCCCCCTTTTAATCCATCTAAAGTCCGTAATGCTCTTCGGTTCAGTAACTAAGCCTCCGTTGTCAGTGAATGTGGGTAATGTTGGGCTGATGATGGACTGGGGGGTGATGCATTTCTTGAGCAAGGATACATGGAAGACTGGGTGAAGGCAGGAGGAGGGAGGAATCTCCAGTTTGTAGGCAACCGGTCCAATTCTTTCCAAAACCTTGTAAGGGCCGAAGTAACGGGGCCCCAATTTCGGCTAGGCCCTCTTTGTGACCGAGACTTGACGGTAGGGTTGCAGCTTCAGGTAAACATATTCCTCAACCTGATACTCTACCTCCCAACGCTTCTTATCGTAGTAATACTTCATTATTTGTTGGGCCCGGTTCAGGTTGGACTTAAGTTCCTGCAAAACCTTGTCTCTGTTGATCAATTGTGTGTCTCCACGGCGGCCACATTACTGGACCCTAATTCATACGGCATAATGGCAGGAGGATCCCTTCCATACTCGGCTTTGAAGGGAGTCATGGCCGCTAACCCTTGGTATGTAGAGTTGTACTAGTACTCGGCCCAAGGTAACCACTGGGCCCATTGCCGTGGCCTGTCTCCTATAAAACACCTCAAATATGTCTCCAAGCACCTACTTACCACCTCAGTTTGGCCATTAACTGGTGGACCTGTATAGCTTAGTCCCCTAGAGTCGGAAATACTCTCTCCAAAACTGGCTAAGGCAGGCTGGATCCCAATCCGAAACAATCGATTTGGGAGTTCCATGTAACTTGGCGACATCTCTGATGAAAACTTCAGAAACCATTGCAGCAGTATAAGAGTGTGGAAATGCTGAGAAGTGTGCATACTTGCTTAGACGATCAATGACCACCATTATAACTGAATACCGGTTGGACTTGGGCAACCCTGTAATGAACTCCATCGAGATCTCCTCCCATACCTGTGTGGGCATTTTGAGAGGCTGCATCAATCCGGGAGGTGCCTGGGAATCATACTTCTGCTGCTGACAAATAGTACAGGCAGCCACATACTGTTGGACCCTCCTTCTCATACTAGCCCAGTAGTAGTGTGAGGACAATCGTTTATAAGTTCTCAGAACTCCAGAGTAACCCCCTTGAGGTGAGTCGTGAAATAGTTGTAAGAGAGTAGGAATGTGTGGTGAGGAGGAAGGTAACACGTACTGCCCCTTGTATAGCAGATCTGGACCCATCATGGTGTATCCTGGTACGGTGGTGGGGTCTTGTTGATAATGGGCCCGTATTTGGGCCAATTCTGGTGCCTCACGAGCTTCCAACCTGATGGATTCAAATAATGGGTGAATGGGTTGGGAGCTTGTCAACTGATGAAACTCAACTACCCTGGAGAGGGCATCTGCTGCCTTGTTGGTGGGCCCTTGGTTTTCATTCAATAGAACAGTCATACCCAAGAAGCTTTGAGATCCATTTTTGTTGCTCTTCTGTGTGGACCCGTTGCTCCAACAATAACTTGAGACTCCTATGGTCTGTTCGAATGATGAAATGCCGGCCCAATAAATAAGCCCGCCATTTCTAGACGGCCAAAACAACAGTCATAAGTTCCTTTACATAAGCAGAATAATTCTGGGCCTGGGCTGTCAATGTAGAAGAACTACTGAAGGGTAGTTTTGTAATTCTACTGTTCTGTACTTTATTTTTTCTTTCTTGTACTATAATTGGCGTGTACTTTAGTGTACAGACCCTTTTTATTCTCTTTGTAAGGACAATCTTGTCTATTCACATAAGTTTAATATAAATACATCTTTTTTGGGTTGGTTCGATCAGAGTGATCAACCCTAACAGATCTGGACTTTTGTCTTTCTCTCTTCTCTCTCTCTCTTTCTCAAGCTGACATGGTATCAGAACAGGCTACTCTCTGATCTTTTTCTCCTCTCTTTGATCAGTGTGACATCTGTTGTTACTGCCGATTAAATCTGGATTGTTTTGATCTATCCAGAGATTAGTTTTCTCTGTTTTGCACATCTAAGGAGAGCTTTTATTAGATCTCTCTCATACGACTTCAGTTTGCAGTGAGATTTGAAAGGAAGTGTCGTCTAGGCCCTCTCATCATACTCTGAAAATATCATCGAGATCTGAGAAGATTTGAGAGAGATCTATACATCTCTTCTGGGCGGCTGCACCTAGACTTTCCTTTTATGGACCGTGTTTCAAGTTTTTGTCTTCCGCTGAATCTTGGACGATTTCTGGTGACTGTAAGAGGCTTCTATTATCAGTTTATTTGATTCACATACCTTTATTACTTCCTTGCTGCTCGATTAGATCTGTCTTCACTTATTTTCTGTTCAGTATGGCTTTGAAAAAGAGTGAATTCATTTCCGTCAAGTTTGATGGGAGCAACTATGCTCTCTGGAAATTTCATTTTCAGTACTTTGTTGAAGGGAAAGGCATGTGGGGTTACATTAACGGTTCCACTCCCATGCCTGACACAAGTGATGTCAAAGGGTTGAAATAGTGGAGAACCGAAAATGCTCAAGTTACATCATGGATACTTGGGTCTATCTCAATGGATATTAGTATCCCGATGAGAGGTCTCAAATCTGCCCATGACATGTTCGAATACCTAGAAAAGGTATATCAGCAATCGAACATGTCTAGGAAATATCAGATCAAAATCGTTATCTTCTCCTATGTTCAAGGGGAGAAGAGGATTCAAGAATACTATGCAGGATTTATAAACCTTTGGACTGAATATGAACTGGCTCACTTTGGGGATTTTTCTACAGATTGTTGTGTGAAGACTATGAAGAAACATCTCACTAAGAGGAAGACCATGCGTTTCTTGGTGCATCTCAGGCTTGACTATGAAACTCTATGCTCCAGCATTCTTAGTAGAGAACTAGTCCCTGAACTAGATGCAATTCTTGGAGAGTTGTTACGGGAGGAAACACGTCTTCTTACTTTATCTGCACTTGAACAAAAGAAGGAACATGGGATTGATACTGTGTTCTTAGCCACCAAGCAGAAGGGTAAGAAAGACTTCTCGAAGTTGTAGTGTTATGAATGCAAAGAATTTGGTCATGTGGCATCCCATTGCAGGAAGAATAACTTTTGTACTTACTGCAAACAACAAGGACATATCATTGTGGAATGTTTGACTAGGCCTCCTAAGAAAGGACAACATAAGGCTTATCAGGMCTCAACCGAATATGCTACCACTGATGCTGCCACCTCATCATCAGCCCGCAAATCGGATGCCCAGGGAAATCTGATTGAAGAAAGGAGCCGTGAGCTTATGTCTTCAGCTATTTCTTTTGCTTTTTATGCTTTTGGTCTGGTTGGCAAGTCTGCTTTTATGTGTTCATCTCCGTGTCACATGTGGATAATTGATTCAGGGGCCTCAAATCACATGACTGGGGCCTCCTTTGGTTAGTCTCCTAAACCTAGATCCTTTGACAATCATATTATTACTGCCAATGGTGATTCTTTACTTGTATATGGTTGTAATGATTTGTTCTTATCCACCTCTAAGACCAAACCCTTTAATCTTCCCAAAACTTTTTTTGTCCCTAAATTGACTACTAGTTTAATATTTGTTGGGCAACTTGTTGATGATGGTAACAATGTTTTATTTACTCGGGATGATTGTTTCATTCAGGACCAGCACACTAGGGAGCTGAAGGGGAAGGGGCATAGGCTTGGGA